CTGGGAAACGACCGAACGGGGACGCTTGCTCGGTAAGGACCCAAGAATCAGGCGGAGCAGTCAAGTCAACCGCAATACCGAGGACCGTACCCTGCACACCTACAGGACAGTACTGTCAGGCCATGTTAGAAGGATGCTTTGCAACCTTCTAGACATGTCAAAACACGAACAGTGTTGTGGGCTCTGACATTTGCCATACCAGAAGAACACGATGGAGCCTACCACATGCATCTAGGCGTCAATAGTATTGTGGGCACCAACAAACCGTCTTGTACCCAACGGCGTGGGCAACAAGACTAGGTAGCACACACACTCACTTTCTCTCACTTGTAAAGCCGTCCCCTTCATGTATAAAAGGGGATGTGCTCTCTCCCAAAAACGGACGACAGATGGATCATTTCGACTCGCTCTCTGCTAAGCTTTAGACATTCTGAGCACTCAAACAACTTCACATCTCTAGAACTCTAAAGCTATATAGAGCATACATTCTAATACTTAGTGCACGTAGGAGCTCCCGTCACTCTCGGCCCTTCGGTCCAGAGTCCGACCGGACCTCTAACACCTCCATCTTACTCCCACTCGTTTGTAACCCCACAGCAAACTTCGAGCACCTGGGCTCAAGAATAAAGTCACCGACCGACTCAAACTGGACGTAGGGCACGTTGCCTGAACCAGTATAAACCCTGTGTCATTGAGTGCTATGCCATATTCGATCACAACGTACGGCAAAACGACAAATATTTACTTGTTGGTCACTTTTCGCACCGACAAGGGGTGAGTTTACTAGCTTCAAGAGATGGTTACAAACCTCCCTGGACTGCCACACAAGTTGGCAAGCTCTACGGGCGACGCTCTAGCCAGCTAGGAGCCAAGCTCCAAGAGTTACAAACACAACCGCCGGCCAAAACGTGAACCAAGTGCTCTTTAGAGTTGGGAAATCAATGGAGCTACTCTCTAATCGAGTTTGGGACCCTTTTTTCTCAAGGATTGATGGGAAAATCAATGGATTTGCTTGAGGGCTTGAGGTCAACAATGGAGGGAGAGAGAGAGCTCCTGCTCTACTTTGGACATGCTCACAAGTGAGGAAGAAGAGGCAGGTGACCGTTGGAAAGGAAGGGGAAAGGTATATATATACTCCCAACCCCCAACGGTCACTTAAATCGCAGATAGCCGTTGGGGAGGAAAGGAAAAGGTATATATATACCCCTAATCCTCAACGGTCACCGCACTCAAGGGGTCGGGCGAGACGAAGCTCACGGCCTCCAGGTCGGGCGATACAGAGCCCACGACCTCGAGGTCAAGCGAGACGGATCTCGCGACCTTGGGGTCGGGCGAGACAGATCTCGCACCAAGGGGTCGGGCGAGACGGATCCCGCGACCTTGGGGTCGGGCGAGACAGATCCCGCACCCAAGGGGTCGGGTGAGACCGTTTAATTCATCTCGAGCCATCTAAGGAAGTCAGCGTGGGCGCTAACTTCCTTGTGCCGCGACCCAAGTGTGTTAGTGCTTCTCTTCAAGTGCGACAGTGCCGCACCACGTAAGACAGCAAAGATAATAGTGAAGTGGGGACTGTCTTGGCTGTGAATCTGAGGATGCTTGTGGTTGTTTGAGCATTTGGTAGCATATATTAGCTTAAGTATTGTGTCTCCCTTTATAGTATGGCTTTTCCTATACTTAAATTCAAGATATAAAAGAATCTTAATTCTCTTTTTAGTTTGAAGCCATCTATATTTATAATTTATATTTATAATTTGGGGCTGCTCCGTTTCGTGTATCATCATCGAATATAAATTTTCTGCTTGTCATCTCGATAAATCTCATTAGTTCTCTAGTTGCGTGGTCATTATCATGAAAACCCACAATTAAGGCTTGATTGCACTTTCAGGACTGCTCCGCTCCATGTTTTTCAGCTCTGTTCCATGTTTTTCAGTTAAATAGGTGCAACTACACAAACTCCATTTTTAAGAAAAAAAATATGAAGTTGAGAGTGCACCTAAAGATGCTCTAGAAACTTTAGGGGTTTGTGAAGTTGCTCCCTGATGGAGTTTGTGCAATAAAGTTGGTGAAGTAGTCCCAAACAGACTCTCACTGAAGATCAGGTTGGATGACAAAAAAAAATCGAGTAGGATAGCAATGTAACAGTGAAGTTTCTCAACAACCTCTACGATGTGAACTTCTTTACCATAAAAAAAAGAAGAAATTTATTGTTGACCACGCTGTCCAAGTTGTTTTTGGCCATGCAATTCTAAATCTAGACTAGCCCTCGAACTATATAAATTTAACTATCTAGCTGGTTTTGAATGTGACTTTTTACTTTTGAGTTATTTTAAATTCTTAGAGTTCAGTTGCTTGCACTTGTCACCACAGGAAGCAAACATCTAATTAGAGGTAGTATTATTATATTAGGGTCTCTTGTGTTACTAATTAAATTAAATTTAACCATCTAGCTGGTTTTGAATGTGGCTTTTTATTTTTGAGTTATTTTAAATTCTTAGAGTTCAGTTGCTTGCACTTGTCACCACAGGAAGCAAACATCTAATTAGAAGTAGTATTATTATATTAGGGTCTCTTGTGTTACTAATTAATTTTCCACTAGTGTCTTTGTTTTTAGTAGTCATCGGCTATTCACCTCCCTTTATCCGCTTCCTAGAGCATTTCAAGTTCTCACCGCCATCAGGGTTCGAGGCTTTATGGGGTTGGGGAGGTCATGGTTGCACACTCAGGGGGTGTTTAGTTGTCCCTCCTAAATTTTAGTCGTTGTCCCATCGGATGTTTGACACATGCATAGAGTATTAAATATAGACTAATTACGAAACTAATTACATAGTTTGCGACTAATTTGCGAGACCAAACTTTTAAGCCTAATTAGTTCATGATTTGACAATGTTTGTTACAGTAAACATGTGCTAATGATGGATTAATTAAGCTTAAAAAATTCGTCTCATGAGTACTAACGGATTATGTAATTTATTTTTTTATTAGTATCCGAATACTCCATACAACATCCTCCCGACATACCTCCTAAATTTTAGTAGCTGAATCCAAACACCTCATAGAAAGAGTCTTCCGAGGAGGTTGCTAAACTAGTGGTGGTGGTGGTCGAGACGACAGTGGGATAGGCAGGGGCGTCATCTGACGAGGTGGTGGGAGAGGCCACTAATTGGACGATGCAAGTGACGGAGGAATCAGCCGAAGAAGAATTTTTTGTGAGATTATATATAAATACATATTCAAACACATATAAAGCCACATATTATATCATTACCTTATTCGTGGCCCACAGAACCTGAACAAATCCGTCCATGGGTCAGTAGGCCTCCCATGGATTTCATTCCATTCGTGAGCAGGTCAAACAACCAAATTTATAAGAAAAAATATCTCTTTTTACGTGCCTGAACTATCATAGCAGTTTAGGCTTCCCTCCGAAACATCAACGTGCAAACTATCTTCCTCAATCCTCAAAATCTTTCGAATTATCTCTTATCATGGTTAGAAGCGGTTTTACCATTTTAAATTAAAAACTTTGTATGATTTTCAATAAACAATGAAAAATATCTATAAGCTTATAAAAAATCCTAGATATATATTGGGACACTACAAACCCGAATAAAATATTTGGAGACCAAGAAAATATATCTAGAATCTTCAAGAAATTAGATTTAGCTAGAAAAATGGAAAATTTTCATTTTTTAAAAAAAGACCTAAAACATTCTAATAAATGTCTAAGAGTGTTTTAAAAACTTTTCACAGTAAAAAGATGAGATGCAACCAACATCAATGCATTCCGCTTTAATGTATGTTACATTTATGCTGGTTATATCTCATATTTTTTTGTTCTGAAGGTTTTAAAACGTATATATACGTTTATTAGAATGTTTGGGGGGTTTTCCATATTTTCTTAGATCTTTTGTCTATCTCTCTAGAGACAAATCTAATTTTTAGAAGCTTCTAGATACTTTTTATCATATTTTATAATGTATTATTTGTGTTTCTCATGCCTCAATCTATCTGTAATATTTGTTTCAAAATATCTTAGAAACTTAGAGATATTTTTATGGTTTAAAAGCCATAAAAAGTGTTATCATTTTTTTTTAATCTCAACTTGGCCCTCATGACCTTTCATTCATAGACGTGGACTCGACGGTCTCGCGAGTTACCATAATGTTTACAAACTCCGGGAGGGGGTAGTTCCACACGTGGGATTGACCCGGGTCCCAACTCAATGCTGTCTTAGTAATCTCGCTCACAGAGAGTTACAAGAATGCGGGACATTTTAAATCTTGTTACAATAAAAATGATCATGTAAGAGTTCACGAATATTACGAGACAAAACTCCACCAGGCGCCAAGTCTCTGGCTTGTGATGTGATTGCTTCCCGAAGTTGGCTGCAATCCGTTTCCAGCTCAACGGTAAAATCACTTTGAAAGTCCTTTCTATCTAACCGGCGTGCAGTTAACTTAAACTGTTGTGATAGTTGAGATTAGTAGTTTGTCGGATTTTAGAATTTGAAAAGAAAAACGGGCTACGACGTATTAGCTTTTAGAGTATTTTTTGTTGGATTTTAGAGTAAGAAGATAGGCTCTATTTAGTTCTAAAAAAATTTTACCCTAAAGTGTCACATCGAATCTTATTGTATATGCATGGAGTACTAAATGTAGACGAAAAACAAAACTAATTACACAGTTAAGTGAAAAATCATGAGATGAAACTTTCAAATCTAATTAGTCCATAATTAGATATTAATTGTCAAATACAAACAAAAGTGCTACACTAACCGAATCAAAAAATTTGGCCGTCTAAACAAGCCCGTAGTCTAAAAAGGGTATTCTTTTCATTTCATACCAGCGGGCTGTTCACGAGGTAAAACCGTCCGACGCAGGCTAAAGTCCAGTGAAAACATGAAACAGTAGAACTCAAAAAAAAAACAGTAATCTCTTCTCAGCTTCTCGGCAACCTCTCCGGTTTCCCCGTCCCGCTCACCGCCGCCATCGCCGGCGCCCATGGCGGCCTCACCAGGGACAGCCGACCCGCTTGAGAGCTCAACAGCGGAGCATCCTGAGGCGGTCCAGCCGCCTCCACTACCGATCGATGAGGCGGAACCGCCGTCGCCAGGGGCGGCGGCTGCACATGAAGCGATCTCTCCGAAGAAGTCCGCTTCCCCTTCGCCGCTTCCGGCGAACTTGGCGGTCGAAGTTTCTCCCGAGGTGGAGGCCTCGTCCTCGTCCCCATCCCCGTCGCCTTCTCCCTCTCCATCTCCCCAAATCGTGGAGGCGTCGCCGGGTGCGCCACAGCCACTGTCCCCTCCACGTACTGCTCCGGCTGCTGCCACGCGTGCTTCGACGGACCTCTCCATTATAGAGGCGGTGGCAGTGGCGTCCCAGGAAGCCGCTCGGCCATCCCCGTCTCCCGAGTCTACGGACGCGCACTTGCACAACGAGTCCGCGCCGCCGACGCCGCCGATGGAGATTGGGCCGGGTGTGTTGTTGCCACAGCAGCAGCCGCAACCACCATCCCTGGAAATGGCCCCTCCACTATGTGATTATTCAGAGCCTGCACAGCAATTGCCGCTGTGCCACCCGGATGGATGCACAGGCGCTTCGCCAGACGCACCGGTGGATGAGGTAGTGGCAGGAACGTCAGCAAAAGCAGCTGGGCCGTCGCCAGGTGAAAGCTCGGAGTTCGCACAGTCACCGCTGCATCTTCCAGCTGAAAGCGCATATGTCTGTTCAAATGCAGCGGGCAAGGTATCAGCAGTGGCTTCAGAAGAAGGTACTCAGCCTGCGATGGAGGCAATTCATGGTGAGGGGCCATCAGAGATTGGAGCACAGAGATCATTGCAGGAGCCAGAGGAGACAACAACGTCCTCCAGGATGGAAGCTGAGCCTTGTTCGCCGGAGATGGCTCCTCCAGGGTTTGAAGATTGTAAGTCTCAATGGTTGCCATTGTCACATCCTAATCCTCTGGTTGAATCCACACACACTGTGGTACAAGTGACTGCCACCAATGCTATGGGCATGACGCCAGATGCAGCAACTGGGTCACTGTCTTCACCTGGCCTATTTCCGCTGTTGAAGAGAGGGGAAGAGGGGCAAACACTTCCAAGATCATGCTCTCCCACAACAGAAGCTGCTCCATGTTCACCAGATACACCACCTCCAGGCTTTGAGAATTGTAAGTCATCATGGCTACCGCTACCGACTCTTCAACCCATAGCTGAAACCACGTACGTGTTGCGCGATGTGGCTCCCACCAAGGCAATGGCAGTGGGATTTATGGAAAAGGAATGCTCAGTGCTGGCATTGGAGCGAACAGATGTGGAGATAGACACAGAGCGGAGCCTATTGCTGCCATTGGATAGCGGAACTGGGAGTTCATTGCAAGGGCCACTGCCAAGATCACCTTCTCCCATGATGCAAGCCATTCCCTGTTCACCGGATACAGCACCTCCAGGGTTTGAAAATTTAAAGTTCACACAGCTACAGCCTCCCTCTCTACCTCTGGTGCAGACTGCACATGTACTGCAAAATTCAGCTGATAATGAGGCCATGTCTGTGATATCAGAGGAAGCTCCTCAGCCATCGCCTGCATTAGATGCAACGGATTTAGACATTGATGACAAACCTGTCCTGGCACCACCATCGGAGAGTAAACCAGGGGAGTCATTGCCACCGGAACCTCCCCTTCTGCTATCTCATGTAGCACAGCATACAACCTGTTCACTAGGGATGGTGCTTTTAGGGTCTGAGAATATCGAGTCCTCGCAGCTGCTGCCACCAGCTCTGGTTCTTCCTCTTGATCATACTCCAGACATCTTGGCTGATGCAGGGACCAAGAAGACAGTCACAATGGAAGGAGTGTGTCATCCGCCGCCTGTACCAGGAGTGGCGGAAGAAGCCAATGGCTCTGTTCTTCCACCAGCAACGGAAGATGGTTGTGAGGGCCAATCACCACAGCTAGAGCCACAGGCTTCTTCCCCTGCAGTGGATGCTGCAGCTACATCACTGGAGATAGCTCCTAGAAGTTTTGAGAATTCGGAGTCCTCTCAGTTGATCTCTCCTTGTCTAGCTGAGACAATAGACCCCTCTACACATGCATCAGCTACAGGCACAGACATGGAAAGCACAATCCTGCAGCAGTCGCCATCGAAGAGTGAAGAGAGGTCATTGCCACAGCCAGAGCAACACCTGTCTTCTCCATCTGTGAAGGACACTACTTGTTCACCAGAGGTTGCACCCCCAGGTTATGAAAATTTTGACTCCTTGGATCAGCTACCACCGCCACCACCTCTTTGCTCGAAGTTTGGTCAGTATTTTTCCATCTTTTTGCAAACTTACTTTTCTTTGTTTTTACTTAGTAATTTTCTGGTCATCTATCTGGTTCATGGCTTATGTGTTAAATGTAAACAGAACAAACCTTTGATAGATCTTGCACATCTAGTGGAGGAATTTCTGGACATCAACAGAGCAAATGGTTAATATTACATTATTACCATGTAATTTAACTTGAAATAGTATGATAGAAAATAAAGAATAAGTCTAGATACCTTAGCATTCAGATAGTATGTTCTGTGCTAGTATCTTATGTTCTTATTGCTCTATTTTTATCTCATGTAGTTGTACCGGTATATTTTGATCAACAATAATGCACTCGACAAAGGGCATCAGTTTACTTAACTGCATGCCAAAATGTATACAACAACAACATAGCCTTTCAGTCCCAAGCAAGTTGGGGTAGGCTAGAGTTGAAACCCACCAAGAGCCCCAAGTCACGGTTCAGGCACTTCAATAACATGCCAAAATGTATCTATTTTTATTTTTTAATATCACTATAACAAAGTATACAGTACCAAGCTGCTGCATTAAGATAAGATGAGAAAGCTTGGATGCATAAAGCTCAAGCCTTTAGATACTGTAAATGACTAATGGAGAAATTGGCAATTAACTGAGAACTTCTCTTTAGGCTGTTTAGAAGCAGACTGGTGAGCAGTCCTGGCATCTGCTACTTGACCAGGATGCTGTCTAGCTCCTTAACTCCTTTGGGGATCCCAAAAAATAGATCTTATTAAGCTGCAGTAAGTTTGAGCTTTGTGGAATATGCAATATGTTAATGCTAATTAAAGCAATGTAAAAAAGGTAGATATGGAGCTTACTTTTTCAGGACATTTAATCCTTATTTCAACATTCCTCTCTTTATCTGAGTACAAAAGAGTGGTACTGATGAAAGTCAGAAAATGTGGTTTTAGAGCTGAGGAAGTTGTGCTGTTTGATTGCAGTTGAAACAAATTCTTTATGGACAATAAATAGAAGACGAAATCTGTATGGGCAGTATTGTAAGCAAGCTCTTACCTTGAGGTTTTAATCCAACCTTTTGTGGATTCATGTTTAAACTGAACATCAAGATGCTACTCTATGCATTGTGCAAAAACTCTTCTGAGTGGCCCGTGGCCTAATATAATTCTCCCTCCATTCCAAATTATAAGACGTTTTGTCTTTTTGAGATGTGCAACTTTTGCTATGCACTTAGATATGCACTATGTCTAGTACATAGTAAAAGCAATGTATCTAGAAATGCCAAAACATCTTATAATTTGGAACAGAGGAAGTAATAAACTATTAGATTCAATCATACAAAATTTTAAGATTCTAAACCAAAGAAGTCAGTTTCCGTACCAATGAAGAAATCGAGGATGTTATAACAGTGATCAATCTTTTTAAAAGAGATTTATAGTTCTAAAAAATGAAGGGCGGGCCTGGTGCAAGCGGTAGAGTCTTACCGCCTGTGACCGGAAGGTCCCGGGTTCGAGTCGCGGTCTCCTCGCATTGCACAGGCGAGGGTAAGGCTTGCCACTGACACCCTTCCCCAGACCCCGCACAGAGCGGGAGCTCTCTGCACTGGGTACGCCCTTCCGGTCACAGGCGGTAAGACTCTACCGCTTGCACCAGGCCCGCCCTTCAGGGTACGCCCTTTATAGTTCTAAAAAATACTGTGTGCAATGTGGGGGGCTTGTACCTTTCTTTGTGTTATTTTTAACTTAGTTGGTGACTTGCACAGAAATTGGTCAAATGGTATGCGGATGTTGTCGTCAGCTTGTTGTATATCCTAGGGGCGCTGTTCATGTTCAGTGTTTTGGTTGCTCGACAATAAACCTTGTACTGGAAGGTGCGTGCTATTTCTACTTTAAAAATTATCTCACCTTATTCTGCTTGTACCTTATTCTCAATTGTTCTTTGAAAATCATTCATTATTCTCTCCTTGTACTATATTTTCTTCTTAATGAAATGACACGCAAAGCTCATGTATGGGAGATAAGGTGTACTCCATCCGTCCCAAAAAGAGTCGCTATGGGAATCGTGCTGGTCAAACTTTCTCAACTTTGACTAGATTTGTAGAAAATGCGTGCAACATTTATATCTCCAAATAAGTTTATTATGAAAGTATATTCAACGATCTACCTAATGGTACTAATTATGTACCATAAATATTAATATTTTGTTAAATATATTTGGTCAAAGTTAAAAGTTGTTGATTTTTTGGGAAGCGAGAATGACTCTTTTTTAGGGACATAGGGAGTATGCCAGACAATGTTACCAAACTGTCTAATCGATCCTAGTCGCTATGGCACCGATCAGCCCGACTAATAGTCGGACAACTTGATAACATTGATGCCAGATGCCAAATTGCCCACCAGTCATTGTCAGAATTAATGTGGCCAGCATTTTTACTCAAATTAAGTGTCATTTAAAAGGAGCAAAACAGGATATGAGTAAAAAAGGTTCCTAGCTGGACTTATATTTGCAGAAGAGTGATCAAGGCTAGATGAATTATATTCCTCCTTGGAGGAAGTAATTCTGCTGTAATTATATGACTCTTTTTTTTTCTCAAAAGTTTCATTGCTTTATCATTGTCTGGAGTTAGTTTGATTTGCCATGTATATAAGTATATTAACATAGACTTAGCGGAGGTTCTTATCCTTTGCTTTAAGTTGCGTTATACATGCCCTCTGAAGTTTTCCACGCAACATGTTTGCATGTTTTGGATTGTTTTTTGGCTCAGAATTGGTATTAACTTAGGGGCTGTTTGGTAGCCGGCCGCAGCCTGCCACCGCAGCGGAGCCCGCGCCACACTTTGTGGCGAGCGTTTTGGCCGCTACACCCGCCACGGAACAGTACACGATAGAAACTGTGGTGGCCGCATCACGAGGCGAGCAACCAGGCAGCAGCCTTTTGTCTGTGGCTGCCTAACTTTAGCTGTGGCGAGCGGCGTCCGAGAAGCAAACACGCCCTTATTCTCATAGACTTCTTCATATTTCAATAGCTTTTACAGACTCACATAATTCTTAAAGTTATCTATGCACTCTCTTATCCTTCAAAGATTGTTTTACCTTCTTTTCTTTCTTGGCAGAACATCAAGTTGGTAAGGTGTATTGTGGACAATGTGATACATTGTTGATGTATCCTTTTGGGGCTCCTGCTGTTAAATGTTCCAACTGTCTTTTTGTCACTGAAATCGGAGTAAGAACTACAACTTCCCACATAGTTTACTTGCTACATGTGTTTTGTTGTGCTAATATATTTGATGAAAAAAGGTATATGCCATTGAAAAGGTAGTTTCACTACTTATATGAGGTGGCGCTCAAATTATTTATCCATCTTTTTAAGGAATGTGAAATATCTTTGCCTTAGATTCTAGTTCCCAATTCATCTAATTTTATTTATATGTTTGAGATAAATATTTTTTCCCAGTCAGGAAATCCCATCTAGTTTCATTATATAAAAAAGCTTAACAAAATTCCAAATTAAAGACTTAGAAGATACATATGCCCTTGGCTAGATTTGACCATACCAAAGAATGACTCAAACAAAGAAGGCATTAGAACTTGATAACCACATTCCACCAAATTAAGTAGCCCCTTAGCCCAAACATGTATCGTATTTTATGCTGCTTCTGCCAGCCACCGCAAGAGTGTGAATTGCTGTTGAAGAGGTTCACATGCCTTCTTCTGCAGTCCAGTCCAAAACTCAGTCTAGTGGCATCAAACAAATATTCCTGCCTTTCCAGATCAACCAAACAATTTTTCCATTTGCGAGCCACCAACTTGTGAGTATCCACATTGAATTGGGTATTTGGATGATCCAATATGCCTAAAGTTGTTACCCTGTGTTTGGAATGTTTGTGAAACCAAACAAGCATTCAAGTTTTCTGCCATGCTCCAAATTTACTGAGCCAAAGGACAACAAACAACGAATTGCACACATTCAGCCTTTCCGGCCCTCTTCAATAACTTTTTTTGGTTAAGATGCTATTCCTCATCAGAGAAAGTGTTAATCCTTAGTGGTAGTTTCAAGTTGCTGATATGAAGAGAACTGTGAAGATCCTTTTGGGACCAGCATCACTCTATTCTGATGTTGGGCTAAATCACTATTCTCTAGGTAGTATGTATGCTAGTGTGATGATTCAATTGACCTGTTAATGTTACCAATGGAAAATGTCACCCATCGTTAAACAGTGTTGAGTTGTTTGCCTTTCTTTTTTGTGGAAAATGCTTCATACCACCGTGCTGTGCAATTACAGGTGAGGCCTGGTCCCATTTGTCATCAGCTTGGTTATACCTTTGCAATCAACAAAGTTATCAAACTTAAACCAAAAGCAGGTTTAAACGATAAATCAACAAGCTTCTTAAATAAACCTTTCCATGACAGCACGTTTGAGAAAGATGTCTGTACCTTTTCTGAATCATTGCCAACATGTGAATCTTTTGTCATTCCTTGTGATTTTTTGGTAATCATGCTATCCACTGATGAACCTGGAGCTCTCGAACTGTCTGCTGTGCCTCAACATTGTTAGCTTCAACTTTCACACTTTCCAAGTAGTAGTACCCGCATCAATTCAAAATGGGTGGACCAAAGGCCACACGATCGCCTCTGTACTGTCAATTGTTATTTATGTCTGCAAAGCTATTTTGCTGAGTACCAATGCACTGATCTATGAGATTTTGTTTCTCCAGGAACGTAATGTTCGGCCGCGGATATTGATGGAACAGAGTGTGTCACCTGATCTGCAAGAGGTAGTTCACCAGAGCTAGGTCAGGCTTTAACAAGGGCAGGTCGTGGAACCTAGGTGATAGTGCCCGTAACTTCAGAAGCAGCCATGGAAAACTCGCGAGTCATCCACCATGGAAGATGGTGAAGCTAGCTGTAACCTCAAATGGCCTGTGCGCTGTGGAAGTGTGGAGTGGATAGCTTCAGATACAGCCTGTAGTTTAGGGATGAAAAAGCGGATCTAGTATAAGCGAAAAGATTACACCCTGCCATAGCCTTATCATAGGGAATATGAACTGCTTAAGCTCGACTGTAACTGGAGCAGGTTAAGCTTAAGCATGGTTGACGGTATGGTGGTCTCAGATGATGCTCACTATTTGTGTGTGGGTGTGGGTGTGGGTGTGGTGTGTGTGTGTGTGGGGGGGGGGGGAGGGATGTGCTTCCGTGCTTGGGTTGGTCCACGAAGTACGAACCGCAGAACAACCCACTTGCATCCTTAGCGTTATAGCACAATCACAAGCGCTTTTATGGCCCTTTGGAGGCAACAAGAGGTAAAAAGAAAAGGTACTTAATGATAGTTGGCCCTGTTTGTTTCGTTGAAATTTAGCTTATACTAATGCTTATGCTGAAATATTGTGAGAGGATGTTCGTCGAAAAGTACAGCTGAAGTAGTGCTGTAAAAAAGAGGAAACTCATTCATTCATTATAAACATGGTACAGAAATGGGACGCAACAAGCCCCATTCAAAGTTTTGTAAAGCCAGCTGGATGTTACAATGTTGAGAATGTGCTAAAGCTTGACAAGATTAATCGATGCCTGTCTTGCCTGTTTTGCTAACTTGTCTGCAACATCGTTCATCTCTCTTCGGATCTTGAGTATTGAGTATTGAGTAGTTCCTTCCTCGTGTAGCATCAATTAGTGCAGCAAGGATCATCTCTCTTTGGATCTTGAGTACTAAGTAGTTCCTTGTGTAGCATCAATCAGTGCCGCAAGGATTGGTATAAGGGACCAATGGCTGGGTTGTGGAGCACGAAGCTAGAGGTAGCAGCATTAGCCAACACCTGATTATATGTTAGAATGTTGGTCACCACGAGATCATGGATATGACATATATAGGAAAAAATACAAAATAAAAGAAAATGAAATTAATAGAAAATAAAAAAATATAAAGGAAAGGGAAAACAAAAGGAAAAAGGAAAAATGTCGTGTAATATAGTAAAATAAAAAAATAATATTCCATGAACACAAGGCGAGCAACCTAAAGTATATCATAGATGAGTACTATGTGAATAATAAGAAATACATGGTGGAACATTCTATCAATACTACATGAAAAAAAAACTAAAATATGTTAGATTGATCTCTACCGGCTCGGTCCAACGACCGAGTCAGACCCTGACTCATGCCCTGATCGGGGGTGCCCAACCAAATCATGGTTGGTGGGCCCCCGTCGCGCAGTGCTATAAAGAGGAGGTGGGGGCCGGGGCTCGTGGTATGAGGTTCATCGACACCGCCACAAACCCCACCAACAAACCCTAGTCCGATCGAGAGGGGGCGTTGACAGCGACGGGAAGCTCCACCGCCACTGGATCTGCGTCGCCACGGTCCTCGACACCGGGCCGCTGTAACTGGACTTCACCGTCGGGACACCGTCGTCACCGGACACCACCGCCATGGCTTCCTCCTCCACCAAGCCCGATGATCAGCCACTTCTACCCCTCCCTCTCTCTCTAGTTCATGTCTAGGATGAACTACTTTGATTTATCACAAATAGAAAAGAATCCACCCACTGATCTACGCCTAGATGATCGTAGAGTTCTAACAATGGTATCAAAGCCATACCCTAGCGTGTAGATCTAGGTTTGGGGAAGAAAATGGAAGGAGATAATTCGTTTTTTGATTCGGATGAAACCCTAACCCTAGATGAGAGGACGGAGAGGAGGAAGGACCTACCTGGGTTCTTTCGTCGTTATCGCTACCGCCGTCACGCGGGAAGAAAGGCCCGAGCCGCTGGCTCACCGCGTTTCGCCGCGCCGTGAGCTCGGCCTCAGAGCACCGCTGCAAGGCCACTCGATGGCGACATGCTCACCCACGTGCGAACGCGCGCATCGGCGAGGGGGCCTGCGGCGGCGCCGCCACCTTCCTCCAGCCGGCACAGGCGGCCGCCGTCGCTCCTCCGCTCGGTGAGCGCAGAAAGAGGAGAGGGGAGAAATGAGACTAGGGTTCCGGGGAAGAGGCCGGCTCGTCGGTTTTTTGTTCTGATCGAAATCGCCGGCCAACCATCCGATGAAGATCGGTGGCTGGCGGCAATCGAGCCAGCTCTAGGCATAGGCTGGGAAGGAAAATCCTAGCCCAGGCCCAGGTTGCGACCTAGGCGCGGGGGAGCGCCGCTGAGCCACGGCCAAATTCACCGCTGCGCCGTGAGAACAGTATGGGAAAGGTTTAGTTTTATCTATTTTTTAGAAGCACATTTTTGGATGAATTTTAGTCAAATTTGGATGTTTAAATCTCTGTCAAAAAATTTGAACCAACGGGATAATTTTCCAGAGAGTAGATGAGTACAGAAAAATGCTTCTGAAAAGTAGATAAATTTTCATCTTAATGTTTCCGCTGTTTTGTTTATATTTATCCTTTAATTAAAGTGGAACCAAGAAAAAATTTAATTAGAGGAGTAGTCATATTTGTTTAAGTTAAATTATGGTATTGTTATTTTTCTAACCAACGTTGGTGATAACAATATTATAAGTTTATTTATGAGTCTTTCCATGCATTAGTTCTATTTCTGCCCAGCGGTGATGTAGAGTTAATGTAGAAGAATGTTGTATGTTTTAATTTTGACCAACGTTAAATTAAATCATGCAATTATGTTGTCAAATATTTCTCACTTCCTCTAATGTTGTTTTCAGGATATAACCTAATGATGTTTATCTCGTCCATTCGGCCTCTCAAAGGAAACAACTATAATGTATGACGAGAGAAGCTTGAGATAGTACTTGCGCTGTCCGATAATGATCTAACACTAACCTCTCCATGTCCCACTGAGCCTGTGGACCTGGTGAGGGCAGAAAATGAGATTGACTGCTTTTGCTACTCAGGAGCGTGACCATGCAACAATAAGAATAAAGTACGACCTTAATCTTGTGAAGTGGGATAGTTCAAACTGCAAGTGTTTGATGGTGATTAAGGGCTCCATTGAGGATCCAATAAGGGGATCAATCCCAGAATGTACCACCGCCACTTAGTATCTCAAGAAGGTGAAGAATCAGTTTACTGGCTCTTCAAAGGTTTATACAAGCACTCTTATTACGAAGTTAGTTAATGAGAAATACACTAGTGGAGGGATTAGAGAGCACATATTGAAGATGAGCAACACGGTATCCAAGCTCAAACCAATGAACATGGGGCTCAAGGATGAGTTTCTAGTTCATTTGATTTTTGCATCTTTGCCCAAAGTGTATGAGACTTTTGTTGTTAATTACAACTTACAACCAGATAAGTGGGACATTGATAAGCTCATTGCCATATGTGTGCAAGAAGAGGAGAGGCTTAAGAGCTCACATGGTGACTCCGTCAAACATGTGAAGGAAAATAAAAGAACTTTAATAACAAGAACGCTCAACCACAAGAGAAACCTCAGTAGGACAATAGCTCCTCTTCTAAGTCAAAAGGAAAGGCCCCACATACTGATCACCATTAGAAATTCAACAATGTTCAAGTAGACAAAGATATCTGCAAATAGTGCAAGAAGAAGGGACGCTACCAGAAGGATTGTCTAGAGTTCCTGAAGCACCTGATGAGAAAAGGTGATGATATTATTACATTTATAGATAAGTCCTTGTATTTAAGTTGCGCAAAATCTACTTGGTTGATTGATTCAGGTGCAACTATTCATATTGCAAATTCATTACTGGGATTCCATACGAGGAGGACCCTGCAAAGAGGAGAAAGACACGTTAAGGTAGCAAATGGAGTCAAAGCTGAAGTTGAAGCCATTGGAAAACTCCCATTAGAATTAAATGATGGCTTTGTACTTAAGCTTACAGATGTCCTTTATGTACCCTCTTTGCATAGAAACTCAATAAGTGTTTCACATTTAGATGATGATGGATTTCATTGTTATTTTGGTAATGGCCAATGTAAGATTATGTTTAATCATAAGTGTGTTGGTCTTGCCTTCCGACAAGACGAGTTTTATTTGTTATCACTTTGTGAGAATGTGAATGTTGTGAGCACTAAAAATGAGAATGTCTCCTCGTCTATGAATGTAAATAATAAGCGGAAGAGAATTCATGATGTATCATCGAAATTATGGCACTGTCATTTAGGCCATATTTCGAGGAGGAGGATAGAACGACTGATTAAGAAATCAATTCTTCCGCCATTAGAATTTTCAAACTTAGAACAATGCATTAATTGCATTAAAGGAAAGTATGTTAAGAAAATAAAAAAGATGTCAAACAAAGCGCAGGAACTTTAGAAATAATTCACACAGATATCTGTGGTCTGTTTCATATGAAAAGTGTGGATGGTTATGATTCATTTATAACATTCACATATGATTATTCTTGTTATGCCTATATTTATCCAATTAAAGAAAGATTAGAAGTATTGGATAAATTTAAGATATTTAAGGTTGAAGTAGAAAATCAACATAATTTAAAGATTAAGATAGTAAGATCCGACCGTGGGGGGAGTTTCTGGACCTTTTGCAAAGTTCTTACAGGAAAATGGCATCGTTGCCCAATACTCTACACCGGGTGAGCCTCAGCAGAATGGAGTAGCTGAAAGACACAACTGTACATTAATGGATATGGTGAGAAGTATGATAAGTTACTACACTCTACCGATAAGTTTGTGGATGGAGGCGTTAAAAACCGACATTCATATTCTCAATCGAGTACCAAGCAAGTCGGTGCCCAAAATACCATATGAGTTGTGGACAGGAAGGAAACCCTCACTTAACCATTTATGTGTGTGGGGCTGTACAGCTGAGGTTAAAGTATTTAACCCAAACATTAAGAAGCTAGACTCCAAGATAGTCAGT